GGCGAGATGCACCAACCAAAGTTAATGCCAAAGCCAGCTTCTTCATGTCTCTACGCCACGTCATGGTCTGACCGCCGCGAAGCTTCTTCCAACCGTTAGAGAACGACTATCAGTACCCAGCACACGACAACGAATTTCGTCATTGCTCACCCGATTTTCCCACCAGACACGAGCAATGCTTCTAAGGCATCGGTGGTCGAATACGGAAAGTCAATTAACATTCCCCGCTCGGAGAGGCCAGGTCTCGCAGGCGTCANTGCCACAGGTGTCGCAGGTTGAGGAAAGCTGCTCTAGCTTTCGCTATTCCTGATGTGATCTCTTCCCCAAACCCACTTCCAGCTGTGATTAAACTCCCGAGATACTTGAAGCGCCCGACCATCTCCAGCTGATCACCAACTGCAGTCCCGCTTCAAAAAAGGACGAATTTTACGATGAACTTTCCGAACTGATTCGGTTGAGCCGCAGTTCTGTTATAGTACTGGCAGGTGATTTTAACTCACAGGTTGAAAAAACTGAGCGCATCAGAAGCCTGTCTAGGCGAGCTCTTCGCCCTCCCCGCCCAGCGAACAACGGTGATCGACTACTGCAGTTCTGTGCGGATCGTCATCTGTTCCTATTTAGCACGAACTTCAGACGCAGCTCCCGACGGACGGCAACGTGGCGCTCCAGTTCAACTGGTACGCCAACTCAAATCGACAACATAGCAGTAAGCTACCGTTGGCGTGACTCTGCGAAATAGTGAAATAATAATATAATTTAACAGGAGGAAGGTGTTCAATAGGGGACATGAAAGACCTGGTTTGGTGGAAGGTATTCGATTTGGGTTCATAAGGGGTACACAACACTAGTATCATACTGTTAGTTGTGAAAATAGGAAGAACTTGTTGAATAAAACGAAGTCCAAAATAACCGCATGTATTGTTACTGTCCGATTTTCTCTTTTATTTCTCATTGGTTTCAATCACGCATTTTATTTCAGGGGATAATGTAACTCCGGTGTACATTTAAAAGTCTGGTTTCTCCTGTTGCTATTCGGTCGCCGTTTCGCAATGGATTCTGGTGAGTTGTTTCCATGATCATGTCGTAAATGATTCATTTAAACAGATACGGAAAGCCCTTCGGTCGCGAGCGCGGTGCCGGCTTTCAGTTCTTGGCCCTCAGATGACAGACAAGACGTCACTCAAAAGTTTTTTGAGGCCTGTAAATTAGGTCTTGATGCAGGGGAGCTTTGTCATAACTCTTGGTTCACTCTGTTACATTCCATGTCAGCCATTGAGGTGATGGACCCCAAAATGGATATCCGTGTTCAGGGTGCACGTCGTGTTGTCAGTACCACAGAAGCGGTTGCCACCAATACACTCCCATTGGATCCGTTTTCTGATCGATTTGAGCTGATTGGTGTAATGGACGAATTACTCGCAGCTACCACCAACTGGTTGACCGGCGATTCTCTTGCTCAGAGTGTTTTCACCTGTATGTACATGCACTGCACCCAGTTGATACGTGATCCGTATTTACGTTCATTTTGCGAACTGTTACGTCGTGTGATCAATCAAATACGACAGATCATTGTGTCTTCCTCCGTTTTTGATGAGGAGGATTTCTATCCGCCCACGAACGGTATGCCTTTAAATGGACCCAGTTCTATGTTTGACCGGTTTCTCGATGCAGAAACCCTAAATGAATCTCTGAGGTTCTTTAGTTTGACCTCAGATGGCCTCATAGAACATACACGCAATTTGGTTGCGATGCTGCACAAAGATGCTGTCAACACTCCAGAAGGCGTCGATGGATCTGTGGATGCGCTTATTTCGCGTCTCGAATTCCCCATGAAGCTACTCCAGTTTACGAATCAGATATGTTCGTATATGAACGCAGCTAAGATGATTGAAAAATCGTCCGAACACACTCAGTTCGATGTTTCGGAAGATAATTCCGTTAATGAGGAGGATAACCGAATCGATTCAATCACAGAAAGCGGCACATTTGCTACTCACGACTTCTGGTCTGATTTATCTGCCATATGTTCTTCTACCGAACCCATTCTTATCGAATTGACTCAGTTGGCGAGAACTCTGATAGATACTGCAACAATTGGTCATAGTTCCGGTCAGGGCAGACTTTTTCCCAAAGACCATCCCTATGGACTTCCCGGATTCGAACCTTTTCTCAACCAGACTAGCCTACCCTCATATATTCCACGATTTGTCATCATCCACGATCGAAACAAAGCATTTCACTACATAAATGGTTTAATTGAAAATTTGTTGCGAATTACACAAACGCGTTTGCTCGTGCCGAAGTGGCATGCATTTGATCCACGTAATTCCGCACTTCATCTGCTTTGGTCTTTCACTCGACAGCATGGTCAACAGACCCATTCGCATGTGGTCCGGTTGCTCAACTCCATGCAACCACAAGACACCGTAGCGACAAACGGCTTTCACTCAGAATTGCACAGTTGTTTACTTTCTCGTGCTTTGTCCTGTTTGCTATACTGTACTCCAATGCGTTGTCAACGCGCAATTGGTATACTTCCAGACATCTCTAGTACACTCCAAGTCGAATTGATTGTGCAATCATGGTTAGACCTGGAGGCAAAGAAGTATCACGAGCCTTTGCGAGAAATCATATCGGATGTGGTTGGTCTCAAAGGTTTTTTCGATGTACTTGCTGATCATTTAATTCACGTAAGTCAACATTAGATATCTCTGCCCGTTGTTTTTCGTGCCTATCACACTTCTGGTACATTATATATGTATGTGTATATATCCATCCGAGAACCCAAAGTAATAATATTCTCTAATCACTTTGATCAGAATCTCAGTTTTGTTATTGAAGGTATAATCAATAATTCAAATTGCAGATTACTGCTACAAATTTTTGGGTAGTTTAACCCCTATAATATTAGTAAAGCTGAGATTTTCACTTTGGTCTTTTATAAAGTGACTATTTTGGGGATCTCATATATAGTGATCCACCGGAACATGTCGGTTCATCAGTATCTCCAAACCCCGAAAATGGTTATTTCTTGAACGAACAATCGATATACATTGTCGGGCAGCTTGGAACCCGTTCTGGTGTGCAAGCACATAAGCATACTGCCTTTTTTCGCCGTCTCATGCGTGTATGTGCACATCTGTGCAGTGATTACAACACACACCGATGAGGTATTTTAGCGACAACCGAGTGAATCCAGTTTACA